AAGGACCTGCAGGTTCTTACCTCCAAAATGCCTTCCACGGGTAAGCCAACGTTTTCTGTACCCATGGTCAATGCCCTAAGCCAACTGTGTTATCTCTTGCTCAGATGGCTTTAATTCTTCTTCATCATTATTCCTGCTTTCAGTTTCCTTCTCTTAATCCAACCTTCAAAGTCAAACAAGTACGGTGGCAAGGGATAACTGATTTTTCTTCTCCCTTCTTCTACCAGTGGCTGCCTTCCTACCGAATAACTTAGGTCCAAGTTCTTTGACAAGGTATTCAGAAGTTTCAATCCTCTCGTTTACCTTCTTTCTCAACAATCTCTCATCATTTCTTCTGGGTAACATACCCTCCACTGCACTGAGATCCAAACAATCCTTTAGGAACACCTGGCTCGGCCTCTCTTAGTGCTCTATTCTGCACCAGTTCTTACCAAGCAACAATCGCCTCTACCACACGCTACGGCACAGCACTTTACCAATATATTACATTCAGCTGTGTTGCATGCTTACTTAAAAATGCCTACCTTACCATATTTGGGATTTGCCAAATGAATAAGGAGGTCAACAGACAGTACATAAAGCAAATTTGAAAGAAAGAAAAGCTCAAAATACAAACAATAAAAAATTGTATAGAACTTACAAGATTACTAACTGAAGCTTTCATTATATACATAATTTTATCACCGAGATAAAGTATCCGTAGAATTTCTTCAAATCATTTATTTAAATAAAGTTGTTGTTGTTGTTTTTTGGGGGGTTTTGTATTTTTAGGGAAGGGTCTACATGATGTTCTGGGTCTCACTACTAGATGGGCCTCCTAGTGATCCGCCTGTGTACAGCCTCCCAAGAGCTGGGATTACAGGTGCGCACCACCATGCCCAGTCTCAATGCCTGCTCAGGGCGCCCCGGGGGTGGGGTTGGCACAGCGGGCCCAGGGATTAAACACCAACACTGGCTCCTGCTCCTGCTTGCAGGCACTTTAATCTGCTCAGCTATTTGGCCGGCCCTAAATAAATTTTTTCAAGAAGTTACAAGTAGCAAACTTTGGGATCACTTTATTCTTAGAATTCAAAATTTATGTTAGTAGTAAGTAAAATTGTCCGCACACTTAATGTACTATGGTATTATCCCCTATCCGTGCTCAGGCATGGTTTTAATGAGGAAAAGGAAATATATGAAGAATAATAATTCAGATAAATGATATTGCCTGTATCAAAGCCTCAGGAATGTAAGATGCTCAAAACCAATCAACACACAAGTAACTGGCATTCAAAACCCCCAAGTTTTAACTCATAAAGTCTACTTTACAGGGGTCTGAGGAATTCAATTTAAAATTCACTCTTTAATGTAATATAATCTAAGCGCATCTTTGATGGACACCTTCTAAAATACATTATGATCACAGTGAAATTATAGAAAATGAATAACATTGCAAACTTGACAAATGTACTAATGGTAAAAGGCAGGAAAAGGCTATTTGGCATCATCATTTTTTAAATGCTTTTAAAACCCTTTTAGTAATGTAATTTCAAACAAATGACAAGGACAGCAAGACTAAAACGTGGGTAGGTGCTCAATTTGCTGTGCTCTTTAGCATGAATTAATTATTTTCTAATTTCTGGAAAAATATACAAGTTCGGTACATTTAGCACCTAATAGATGGAGAATTATTCTTTTCTGTTTTCTATCACCTGGCTAAGATTCTTGCAAAAACCACATTCAGGAACCTCATATTAATAAATTATGATTTCAACCATACTGATTAGCAATCATTTCCTTACCCTCACCTCAGCATTTCCAACAAGAGGATAATAAGGCAATGCCCAACAGAGTCAAGACAGAAAACGGAACACTGGCAAGAAAGCAAGGTGGCCACTCTCTCCTCTCCAAGCACTATGCTTTGCATTGAATCCGTACTAAAGCCTCTTCCATTAGCACAAGGCAAGTATCCTTTCATTTGCATGCCTGATAGTGTTCTCCGAGTTCCTGTCCAGGTCAAGGGCAGAACCATGTTTCTGCTAGCTTTATATCCTAGAAGCTGGCAGAGAGTAGGAACATAGTAGATTCTCAACAAATGCCTGCTAATTGGTAAAGAAAACTATTTCTGTATTACCTCTGGAACAAACTTCATATTTCATGTTGGGGTATTTGAATCTAGAAGTGTATCTGCAAGTAGAAGCTCTACCACTTTCCAAGAGGCATCCACTGATGGGACACTCTGGGCCATGCTCTTGTTCTTCTCTGAGCTCAAGTACATGCTAACTCTGTGGTACTAAGGTTGTTACAAAACAGTCTACATTTCATAAGGAACACAACTGAGAAATCACTCTCTTATTCTCAGTGACCTTGGAGAGAAAGTCTGCCCTCTGGAAACAGAACAATTAGTTCAAACAGGAATCTCAGTTCATCATTTTAAATTCTACATGACAAGAAATGGTGACACTACACTTACTAGACATTTCTTTTACAGTCTAAAACTGTTTCGTTGTCCATTAAAAAATAAAATGTTTTACTTCACAGTTACAGCTGGAGATCTGCTCTTGGAAAGAGGCTTCATAAAAAAAATGCTGCCTACATTATGAACCCTGCCTGTTCCTTAACGGTTGATTAGACCTGAAAATTGCTATTTACCATTATTCACAAGTTAAACTCATGCTATTTCAGTTAGTTAAAAAAAAATATAGCCAGGTAATGTGTCAAGGGATTAACCTGCAGACTAATAGTCACCAACCAATGTTGATACTATGAACCACTTCCTTCATTTCAGACAAATAAGATCAACACACACAGGAGATGTTTCTGCGTTACACACTTCAATGAAGTGTGTCATCAAACAGTACCATGAGGGCTTTTCTTTTCCATGTGATAGAGAAATAAACATACTGAACTTTTATAATAATTCACGTCATCTTTTTCCACAAACCCCACAGATGTATTCACCATTTTCATCTCTGACAAATAATGAAGATAAAGAGGGAAACTCATGTAATATAACTTTGCCAATACCAGACTCACACCCCCAAAGTAGAGACTTTGGATAACAGATTCTCTTGTGAGTCAGGTTCAACTGTTGAAGCTAAACCTAAACCCACAAAAGGGTTAATAAAGTAAATAATGACACCTCTCAAATGACCATCCATTTTACCATACTCATGCTAAAAAGAGAGTAAGAGGATGCTAAGGACCAGTTATAGACCAAAGTGAGACACATCACTTTTACTGTTTCAGTAATGACTTCACACTAACCATAGTATCTTCTTATATTAAATCTTTTTTTATTTGATGTTCTAACCCTCAATCACAAATATACCAAGTTGGACCACTCAAAGAATGGGGATGGATACAGTGTGACAGCTCCATTGTAAAATCTAATGCATCTGATGCTTACCACTTATGTAACAGATAAATTACAGCAAGCCTTCAGTTCCCTCTCTTACCCCAAGTAATGATTTAGGCAATGAGAATGCTCTCCTGATACACACACCTTAGAAACAGTAAGTACAGCTTATATTATGCCTGGCAAACATATGCACTTCTTCAAACAGCACACTCCTTATTCTTAAGTATCCAAAACCAAAACTTGACCCAAAGCGGCCAGTTGCAGTGTCCTGACACCATGACATCACTCTGTCTGGAGCACTTTAATGTAACAATTTGAATAAATTGGCAGAAGCTTAAATAGGTCACATTGAATCCCACAAGTAAGGATATGTATCTGGGAGAAATATTTTGGCTCTGCATTTAACACCAGTGGCTACAGAACAACAGGCCCATCACTCACCTATCTTATGCATACTTTCCCTAACAGTAAATGAAAATAAAGTAAATCTTCTCACATTCCTATCTTACCAATACTATGGACAATGTCTTTTTCTATAGCCTACATTTGCAAACAAACCAAATGTCACCACATGATATGGGGTAGGCTTTGACACACTCCCACCATGGAATATTTTGCTTCTTTCTCCCATTCCCCTTCCCTCCATTCAGCCCCTCTTCCCCTCTATTTACAAAAGCTTTGCTTCAATGGAATGTTTTGAAGCTTCCAGTTCTGCACTTACAGACATCAGAAGTCCTACCTCCACTAAATTTGTAACAAGCCCCAAATTTATGTAAAATAAACCCATCAGGGTTTACCAAGAAATACAGGCCAGTGCTACTCCTTCAAAAACAAAAACTGCTCCTCTCTGCAAAGCAGCAAGTTACATGTTAATCAATTTAATAATCCTACTTAGTACTGACAGCTAGTTTTACAACAGAACATTGTAAGGTACTTGGGTTGCCTTCCTAACTGGACCTCTCTGAAAACTGATACCCAGTCTGATTTCTCCATGTGAAGTTACAGTTTATCTGAAAAGCAACAAGCAGAAACCACAGAAGTTTCTGATACTCTCAGCTCCACCACCCCCAACACAAATTTTCCTTTCACAATAAACAATACGCAATTGACAAGGTTTCCTGTTTCAAAATGGAATAGTAGATAAAAGGAACTGCACCTATACCATTAACATCAAAAAGTTTCTTAATGAACAAGAATTCTCACATATGGAAACTCTCAAATACTGCTTCCTCACTTGAGGACTAATTTGGTGCTTTCCTCAATAAATACAGTATTGCACATATGATCACTGAAAGGACTCTATCAGAGACTTCTCCCAAGATTAGTTTTTGCATCCTCCGTTGTTATCTGACAGTAACACAACCTCACATAACACTGAACACTTCTTAGCCATACAATAGCCATACATCCACAAAAAGCAGCCAGTAGCAAAAACTCTGTGTATCTGCGTCCCACAAAGGAACTCTGAACCTTAAGAGTATAATAAAAGGTTAAAAAGTCCTTACTTTTGATGCAACTTATCAAAGCATAGAGGGGTAAAAATAGTAATACAAATTAAAAGACTGTCACCATAACGATAATTACAAAATAAGACTGCATAAATCAACCTACAGGAACCAAAGGGTGAACAGGGCTATGCACAGGCGCAGTCAAAACTCACCACTTTGTCCATGAGTTTCCAAGTTTTCTCCACAGTTTTTCGATCAGCTGCAGCTTGTTTGGGGGGGCCAACTGCATCCTGAATGGCATCAATAATACCCAAAATTCGGCCCTTTCTGGGGTTTCCTGCTCGACCACCAGGGTTTCTGCCATTCATAGAATTTGCCATCTGGATTTTTAGAGCTTTGAAAGGTAAATTAAATACAAAAGAAAAGTTAATTGGATATGAAAATATCCACCCAACAGAAACCAGAACAAGTTAACTTGTACCAACCACAAAATCAAGAGTCCCAGATGGAACTTTGCAATAATAGTGTGAAATTACCGTCTTTAGCCTTACACAAAATAAGGTTAGGAGAAGCCTTGGCAGATTTGGGTTTAAAATCCTTAAGTGTTAAAGATTCATCCCTCTCATGTTTCAAACAGCCAAAAGCTTAACTAAGAAGAGCCAACTCCTAACAACAAAAAAACAACTGCAATAGGTTCCCTGCACTAGATAAGCACACAATGTTCTCCGTCTCTGCCTAATCTGTGACCCCAGAATACATTCGGGAGCCTCGCTGGGGAACCTCCCTTGCACCCCAGCAGATTTCGCAAGTTACTACATAAACATAAAGCGCTCCGCCAGAGCACATGGACTTCTGCTGTCCACAAAGACGTGGGACTTGAATTTCCCCCGCAAAACCCACCAAGTAGGGACACACACACACACACACACACACACACAACACACACACACGGTTTTGTAAACCGACGCGGTGAGGAGTTACTGCTAGGACCTAAGTCAGCCCCAAACAGCTCATCCGGGAGAAGAGGCTGAGGCACTGACAAGAGCGGGCACCGAAAGCTCAGGACACTTTTGATGCTTCTCGCCCGCAGTCTCAGCCCGGCGGGCTGCAGGAAACCCAAAGCTTTGTTTCTAGACGTCTCTGCCCTCCGCGATCTCGGCTGCTGAGGGAGGACGGGAGGACGGACGGGCGGGCGGACGGCCGGACGCGAGGACAGCGGCTTCCCCGGCGCCCCGGCCCGCGCCCTCGGGGCCCCCCGCCCTCCTCCTCCTCCACTGCCCCGGCCCGGCCAGCCGGTTCCGGTCTTTAAATCCTCACTTCGAACAGTGGACGGCTGGGGCAGAGCAGCTGGCACCAGGGCTGCGCCGCTCCCTCCGCGCCCCTGCCCGGGGCCCCGGGGCAGGAGGGGCCGGCAGCCTCCCCCGCGCCCCGGGCTGTTCCGGGCCACGCGAGTGCGCGGGTCCCGCTCCACGCAGCCCGCGGAGTCGGGGCGCCCGGGCGGGGACAGTGTAATCGCCGTGAGGGCACGCTCCGGGAAAAGAGCAGCCCAGAGCGCAGGCCACCGAGACGGAGAAACGCAGGAATTACCGTCGAGACAAGTCCACGCCCGCTTCCCCTCCCGCCGGACTCGCGGGAGGCCACCGCAGCACGAGCCGGAGGAGGAGACCGCTCGCTCGCCACCCCACCCCTGTAACATACACAGGGCCGGGCGCGGGGCGGGGCCGGGGCGGAGCCTCACGCCGCCCGGCCAATCGCGCCCGTCTGCGCGCTGCCCGACAGCAAGCGCAGCCAATGGACGAGAGGCGCCCGTCCTCCAGGCGCTACCACCGGGTCCACGTCCTCTACAGTACACAATGGCCCCAAAGGAAGGCCCACGCGTCTTGAGGTCCCAAATGCAGAGGAACTCGGAGAGAAACGGACTTGCACTGCGTGAGAACCAAAGTGGAATAGCGAAAGGAAATGGAAGAAGAGTAGCAAGGCAGAAGAAAGCTAACCAATGAGGGGCGGGCAGGTAGGCGTGAGTGTAGGGAGCTGCGGCTGGAGCCAACCGGGCTCAAAGGCGGGACTTCCTGCTCCGCGCACCTTCCTCGTCTTTTGTTTCATAGCAACAGAGTAGAGGCTGGAAGGGCGGTGCTTCTCTACTCTGGGCGAGTCCCAGGCTTAAGAAATTCGTTTCCCTAGGGCTACGAAGCTCCTCGACCAGGACAGCAGCCAGGCGGGTCTAAGGCAGTTCCTTGTTGCCCATCATAAAACAGCAGCAGTCACCAAACCTCGCAAATGAGGTGTAAACCTCACCTCGTGTAGACTAAGTAAAAGCTGACTGCCAACTAAAACTTCCTAAATTTCTTAGCGTTTCCCTTTTACTATTAGTTCTAGAGAGATTCCAAATCAAACACCCGGCTAATGAGGAAGGCAAATAGCTGACAACGCTGGCCAAATGGTCTCTGCTAATCACGCCTGGGCAGTGGCGGTAAAAGTACTGGATAATGGCAAATACATACGTGTTGTTATTTGTTGTTATTCAGTACAAGTTTCTGAATAAATGACTGAAGCGAGCTCAACTATTTCTATCTTTTCTGAGTCATCTTTACTGTCTGTTTTAAAAGCTGCTTTGTATCTGCGGCTATTCTCTTCCAGCCTTTTTAGTCTTTCTGTGGCTCCAGCCTTTGTATCTACATCAAGGTGCACATCTGGCTAGCTTTAAAATGAAAAAGCTACTGTGCCAAGACCCTTCTTTCAACAAGATCATACACGAAAAAAACGACCGTCGTTTCTTTTTATTCCAGTGCTACCGCATAATGCTGTCAGCCATCACCCTAGATCTCCAAGGTTTGGAGCTCGCTTTCCACTAGAGTTGAGGTTTACACCTTGGGCTTCTCCCTGTGATGTTTTGCATCATCTTTTCAAAAACATTGCTGATCTTTTTCTAACCATTTAGCATTGTGAAGTGGTTCACTGTAGTCCTACTTTCTAGTAAATAAGCATTTTAGTAATGTGATTGCTACTTTGGAGGATCCTGAGTTGTACTTTATTCTGCAGCCCTAAATTTGGGACGTTACGATTTTTATTTGAGGAAAAACACAAAATGTGCTCTTTGCAACCAGCCGGGTTAGAAAATATGGTTTGAGAAGTGTCATTACTTCACCAATAATTAAGGTACAGTTCCCAATGTTTGCACTGTGTTTATATAAAAAAGCACTGGCCTATTTCACCCATCCTTATCTTCCTTATTCATGGGAGTAGTAGCTATATTTACTAAGGATAGATACACACACACACACACACACACACACACACACACACAAGCGCTGGATCGCCTTCAAAATAAATCCCGAAAGAGTGAAACTATGTTTAGGTTTTTTACATGCAACAAAACAGTAACTTAAGGGAACATTACATCTAAGTGTATTATTCCTATTCATTTCTCCACAAATGTGGCAATGCCAGCCAAGTAGTCCTTTCATACATACATATTAATGCATGTGCCATTCTCTTAACATTGTTTTGCAACTTATAGAGATGAGAATGAGAAAATGGTACTCTGTGGTAGCCAGCAAGTCATATGGACACAAGTTTTACACAGCATTCTGTACTCTACATTGTTACACATACAGACATGTATGGAATACTAATACATGTGTATTTGTGTATTAAATATACACATATATGTGTATATCCGTATAATCCAGGACTTTAGTCTCAAATAGCTTTTTTTCAGAGCTATCTAGAGTCCATGTTAAGTTCTAGAATGGCAGAAGTCCCCACTGAGCTTAACTTAGCAGAGTATTGTTATTCCTGATAAACTAACAAGGCAGTAGCCCTCCCAGCTAACTGTTGGCATGAGTTGCCGTGATAGGGCAATAAAGACATTCTGAGAAAAACTGAGGCACAAGAGACAAAGCCTAGTAAGAGCCTTCATACTGAGAGGCTCTAAATAATGTACAAAGAACTGTTTTCTTGGGAGACTGTGATACCAAGTGACTAAGTAGTATGCTTAGGTGACAGAGTCGGTTAAAGAAATAGTATGCTCGTTTCTACAAAACAAGTCAGTCTTGAGCACCATGCAGTTATTGAACACAACATCATTGGGAGCACGAGGATTTGAACTGATGTGGAGTGCACCTGCAGCCTCCTTCTGGGACTGTAGTGTTCTGGGAGATCCCAGAATGAGGCAGAATGCTGGACCTGCTACCTGAAGGAGCGCCCACCATGTGAAGCTTCAAGTGAGCCTTGGCGGCAAAGGTGCTAATGAACCCTGTGAAGGCAGCAAGGAACTGTTGTGACTTGAGTATTACTAGTTGGCATTATATATATGCCAGTAGGCTGGTGTCATCCAGAAAAATGCAAATTTTAGGATATAATTCATATTTGTATTGTTATTAGTACATCATGGAGTACACAATGATTATACTCTTTGTGGGGAGTTGTACCTCCCACATCCCACTTATCTTTTCATTGCCTTCCCCTCTCTTCCCTCACATGTCTGATTACTTTCTTTTAGCACTATGGTCACAAGGTGTATTCTACAAATGCCCTACACTTATTCCTTTTTTGGACAAAGTAGTGCTCCATTATGCAAAAATACCACATTTTCTTTTTCCATTCATCTGTTGATGGACATATATGCTTCCATGATTTATGCTTCTGTTAAAGTGGGTATGAATGTATCAGTGTAATACGATATCTTTAACTCCTTTGGGAAGATGTCCAGAAGGGGAATAATTGAGTTGAATAGAATTTCTGTCTTTAGTCATTTGAGGAATCCCCATGCTGATTTCTAGGTGGTAGTACTGCTTTACAGTCCCATCAGCAATGTCTAAGACTTCCTTTTCCCCTAGAGCCTTGTTCATGTTTATTTTTTTGATTTTTTGATGAGAGCCATGCTTTCTGGGTTGAGATGGACTCTCAGTGATGTTCTAATTTGCATTTTTCAAGTGACTAGAGATGTTGAACATTTTTTTCATGTACACTTGCATTTAAACATAGGAAATACATGTTTGAGGACAAAAAGACACCCTCTGAGATAAAGTATTTACATTTTTTCTGGTTTTCCTTTCTTTCATTTTCTGTTCTCTCTACATTCACAAGTTGGGCCAGGGAGATGGCTCAGTGGAATAAGCGCTTCCCTGGCAAGCACAAGGGCCTGAGTTCAATCCCTGGTTCCACCAAATATAAAAATAAATAAATAAATAAAAATTCACAAGTGACCCCTGTAATATAAGACATGAATAGATATAACTCTCTCATAACTTATTTGACCCACACTAGGTAAAAGAAAAAATTATTGAATGAATGGACTGTTTTCAGGAAATTGTGTAGGACATACAAGCTGATCCCATTTCTGCACAGTGCGGATTCAGGTACCTCACAATTCCAAGGAAGATAATACTATTTTGGGGTTTTTTTTGTTTTTGTTTTTGTTTTTGGTGGAACCGGGGATTGAACTCAGGCCCTTGTGCTTGCCAGGGAAGTGCTTATTCTACTGCGCCATCTCCCCGGCCCCATACTTTTTGTATACGAAATCTGCCTTCAAGTCATCACAGACTATCCTGGGAAAAAAGGATGCAAAAGCAAAATGCTAATCTGCCAGAAAGAACATGCACACCAATTCACAGCTAAAGAGAAATAAAAACTATGTAGTTCACTCATATTTGAGTTGGACAGTTCATTCCTCTGTAAAAGGAATAGATTTTCATTCATTCTTTCAAATCCTATTTAATTTGGTATTGAGAAATATTGATCCGCTGACTCAAGTGACATCATAGGTTTAGTTTGGGTTTAGCTAGAATGTTTGCTGAATGATAACTAACAATGACAAAACACAGCCTTAGTTCTCTCACGTGTAGAAAAATTCTAAAGATAAGAGTTACAGGTAAATATTGTGGCTCTACAATTTTCTCAAAGACTCAAGTTCCCATTCTTTGTACTGGCCCAGTACCTGGCTTCTGCCTTCCAAATCACCTCATATCCCAAGAGTACTGCTAGCACTCCAGCCATTGTCATGAATCTTCACACTCAAAGCTATGAAGGGAGACTGAAAGACAAATCATATTTTCAGCAGAATCTGTTTCCTTTAAATACCCTTTAGAGAATTCTCACAAATACTTCTGTTGAACAGCTTGAGCCAGAATGTAGAAGCATGGCAAAATTTAACTGTAAGAAGTCTGAAAAGTAATGTGCTTTTTGTTTAAGGAGGCATATAACCAACTAAAAATTAAGGCTTTTGTTTCTTCCTACTACTTTATTCTGATTCCATAATTTTTCATACCTGAATTGTATTTTTCATATTTCACTGTAGATTTTTCCATGTTTTAGAAAAATATATGAATACTACTTTTGACCTCAACAGTTTAGGTAAAGAACGTGGACTTTAAAGAATCTGTTGGAAAAATATATCGATAACCTATTCATCTTTTTATTTATGCTAAATTAGAACAACATTGAATTTTTATTTTTACTTTCCATCAAAATGTAAATTCATAATTTTTAAGGGTGAGGGGTGTTAAACACATCTCTTGGGTTGGCAGATATGGAAACTGGCAAAGTTAGTCATGGTAATTAGAGTCTCAAAAATATAAATAGGAAATCCAAATTAACAAGAGATTGCTTTCAACTTTAACGCCATTTTCTTAGGAACCTCTGCGCCACAAGAGCCAAGTGGAGGAAGAAGTGAATGCACAGGCTGAAGCATAAAAGAAGA